GGTCGAAAAAAAAAAGTTGAGTCAGTCACCCCCTACGATTAAAGATATGTTATTAACATTTCCAAAAATATAAAAAATATTTTTTTGCCACGCCTAGAAATACCGCCCTTTTAGTTTTTTATATATTACGTCGCCATTTTAAGTCCGATCGTAACATATAATATATCAATATTTATGGCTTGATTGTAGCTATATTTTACTCTTAAACAATTTTTTAATTCGACATCATATTCTATGCGCGACTTCTGATATCTCGGATCCTTCCCCAAAATCTAAAAATGTGGCTATACTGGAATAAAGTATATTTAATTATATGAGCTATTATATTTTAAAATGCTCAGTTTTATGCATAAACAGCTATTTTACAGGTATTTAAAAATACCTGTATAGTTTTAACTACAAACAATTAATTTGCTAGGGATATGGTTGAAAACTATTTTTTCAAATTAATTTACAATACAAAAATTTCACTCTGCTCCCTACCTTAACACAAAAAAGATAATTTTATTCAGCATTTAATTTTATTAATTAATAACAAAATCACGTAGGTACATAAAAACTAAACATTTTATTTTATAAAAATTGATGAAAAATTAAAGAGTTCTGCTTTATAAAAATATTTCATGTTTTTACCATACAATTACTTGCATGTTTCTTCGTTTTTTTAACAATTTTCAAAAATGTTTATGCTAATTTTTATAAAATGCAATAAATTTATTTAATGATATCTTAACTTTTCTTAAATAGTTATATATTTTTAAAAGAAGTTCTTGAAATAAAAACTAATAAAAAAATATTAGTCGGGAATGGCCGACCATATGATACCAGTTATGAGTATATATAAAATGTGATTTCTTTTTTAATAAAGCACTTATATTGAAATTTGTCCATTACTTTTTAAGCAATTTATTGATGAAAAACTGATTTTCTGAAAGAGCCCACACAGAAAAAATTATCGGTAGTTTATCTTCAATTAACATGTTTTTCTCTTTCTTTAATTTTAATTTAAACAATTTTTTATTTGTCTTGATTATCTCATTGTTTAAAACCTAAGTTTACAAATTTGATTAAATTTTTAATTGATTCAATTACTTTTTTAATTGATTGAAAAAAATTTTCTGGCCAACTTTTCTATTTTAGCTTTTTTTAAATATTTTATTTTGATTTCTTATGCTAACAATGTTTATAATTCTTAAATAGTCAATAAGATTTTAGGCATATAATATTCAAGTTTCTTGACAATTTATAAAACACTTTATATGTTCAAATTTGATAATAAAGTGATATTTTTTGTAAATGCTCAACGCATTGTTTAAGGGTAAAGTATTCCCTTAACATTGTGAGTAATCAATTAATAATTTGATTGTTTTAATCATCAACTTAATTGGTTTTTCATAAATTTTCTACCAAACAAACTAATTCATTTGATTAATAAATTAATAAAAAATTAGATATTATTTTTATTAAATATTTAATTTATACAATTAATTAATTAATCAATTTTAAATTTTGTCTCAATTATCGATATTAATTGTTCTGATTAATTCGTTATTTGAAAAAAAAGTATGTTTTTTTAATTTTTTTACAAATTTGATAATTGATATCATCATTTTGGTGATAGGTGCAAAACTTGCTTGATACAATTATTTTGATAATTGAAACATATTTTCAGTTTTTTCTGTGTATATATGGGAGCTAGGATCAATTATAGACCGATCCTATCAAAATTTGGTGGAGGGATTTATGTTCATATAGGAGTTAGATATGCAAAATTTCATCATAATGGTAGTGTTAAAGACGGAAATAACTTCAAGCCAAACGGACAAGCTCCGATTTAATTCATTTTCAAACAACTTCGTCCATTGGTAAAATGAAATATTTGAGCCTATTTTCATCAAATTATCTGGAAAATTGCGACTTGTAGTTTGATTACAGTCGGACGGACATATCTAAACCACTATATTGCTGTAGGATATACATAGTTAACTTTCTTCTATTTTGAAAGGAAGTAGGATATGAAATGGCTTGTAACTGAAAAAATAAAAGAGAGAACGGTTGATAAATACTTGAACATTTTTAAATATCTATAAAATAGGTGTTTATGCATAAAAGTGAGAATTTTAAAAGCTAATAGTTCATATAATTCAATGTACTTTATTCCAGTATAGCCACAATTTTAGATTTTGGGGAAGGATCCGAGATATCAGAAATCGTTTATAGAATATGACGTCGAATTAAAAATTTTTCTAAGAGTGAAATATAGCCACAGTCAAGCCATAAATATTGATATATGACATGTTTCGATCGGACTTAAAATGGCGGCGTAATATATAAAAAACAAAAAGGGCGGTATTTCTAGGCGTGGCAAAAAAATATTTTTTTTTTTGGAAATGTTATTAACATATCTTTAACACAACTTTTTTTTTGTCCATAGAGACCGACCCACTCTAATGTATGATCATGTTCTACATCTTATTTAATTGCACTTCGTAAGAGTTTGTTTTTTTTGTTTTCAATTAACACTTTAAAGAATTAAAAATTTTCTTTCAATATAACTTGTACATGGAACAAATTCAATGGGAGTTATAGGTTTGTATGGCTTTAGAAAGATTGGATCATAACTTGTTGTTTAAAGTTTCAAAAATTACTCTAAATTTTCATTTATTAGTTGGATTTTTACCTAACTTTTCCAACTTGCGTTTAAACTTAGCATTTCTAGAGATCAAATACCAATTCCAAATGATTCAATGAGGATTTATTCTCAAATGTACGATTGTAAAAGCAAGGATATGAGCGAAAAGCTAATTGTTTTGTTTTCCTTCTTTCTCACTCAAAAAGTATATGTTTTTGTTTCGTTCATGTACAGAACGATTAAGCAAAGTTAAAAAGTTGTGTATGTATATTGTAGAAACTTTTGCGAATTGTTTTGTTAGTATTAAAACACTGCTCGTTAATCGATTCCGAAAGATTTTAAAATATATAAATATTTTTTTATAAAATAAATAAAATGTGTGTATGAAACTAAAGAGCCCCAGCTCCACATCCAAAGAGCCGCATTTGGCTCGCGAGCCATAGTTTGCCGACCCCTGCTCTAGCTCTTTCCATTCGGACTCTATCGTGCTTTCAACAGACATACAGAAGGACGGACAGACATGGCTAGATCGTCTTAGAATTTAATGAGGACCCAGAATATATATACTTTTGTGGGTCTATGACCAATATTTCGACGTGTTACAAACGGAATGGCAAAATCAATATACCCCCCATCTCTTTTGATGGTGGGTATTAGGGTGATCGACTCGATTTTTCAACCGGTTTTAAAACCGGTTTTTTCTGCTTTACCAGTATCGGTTTTTTCTAAATGTTGATTTTTCGAATATCGAATAACCCGGTTTTTTTCACTTTTTAAAAACCGGTTTCGAATACTTTTATTTGCTTTGTATTCAAAGATTATTTAAATGAAATTTTGAAGTAAATAATACAGCCCGTTTAAATTTTAAAAATATTCGAGTCCAGGAACTAGGATACATTTTTCTAAAGCACCATTGGTTAAACTTTTTTGATTTTCCTAACTAATTAAAACATTTTATTTGTAAAATTGATAACTGTTTAATAAAATTTTATTAATCTTAAGATTATATTCCAATTACAATAATTAATTTACCGCTGCAATATTATGGAAGTGTTGGAATGCCTATGAAAATTTCCTAAAAGGGCTTTAGAATAAGCTAGGATTACATAGTACCTTATATTTAACAGAAGTGTCCACTTTTTTCCTAATTTTTTTTATATTAAAGAAATAATGTAAATCAGACGACTAGATCTAAAGTTATAATCTGTTAAACTGTTAATAATCATTTCGGGCCATGTTTTATTAATCAAATTTAAACATAAACATTAATTTCTTCAAATTAACATATATTTTTTATTTATTATGAAAAACCGGTTAACCGGTTTTTTCTGAATTTGAAAAATATCAACCGGTTTTTTTGAAATGTCAACTATTCGAACTATTCGAAAACCGGTTTTTGAAAAATGTCGAATAATCGATCACCCTAGTGGGTATACAAATGATTTTGGATTTCGTTTAAAGTTGATCTTTATTGTGTTAAGGTAATTATTATAACATGATTTATTAAGGATATTGTATTCAGCACGGGTAATAGAGTATCTCATATAATCAATGTAAGAACCGGACTGTCTAAATTTTTTATACCATTTATTCTTCCTATTTTTTGCGTAAGCCAGTTGTTTATTGTTCCATGGTGGACCGGATAGATTTTCAGATTTTCGCATGGGAACACATAAATTGAGGAAATTATTAAGCTTCATATAAAAGGCTTTTAAGTTATCATCAACATTTGTATGACAAGAAAATAAGTATTGCCAATTTGTATCGAATAGTAGTTCATTTAACTTATTATAGTTGGCATGTTTAAATGAAAAAACTTTTTCATTTTTACTGGACGAAGGCGTTGAAAAATTTAGTGAAATGGATGTTCTTAATTCAATTGTTGGATGATAACGATCTTCTTGACATGAAATAGGAGATGAGCGTTTAATAAAACTATTTGACACATCATTTACGAATATTAAGTCCAATATTTTTGAATATCCGTTACGAATGCCATTAATTTGGAATAGATCATATAGGATATTAAAGAAATCATCGAAATTAGAATTCTGCCTAGTCTGAATGAGATATCCATCATCTGGTAAGAATTTCCACTCAGTTGAGGGCAGATTGAAGTCTCCAAAGATAACAAGATCTGATAGCTTCAGCATGCTTACAAGAAGATACTGAAACTATTATTAATGTTTGGAATTATAATTAGGACAACCATATAAAATACTTCCCTTTGGAGATAATAATATGATTCTTGTAGGTTGTCATAAGTTAACATATTATTGTTCCTATAACAATTATAATATGATTCCTACAATACCATAATTTGTTCTTTAATTTACCATTATATTATCCCCATTAATAACATCAAATATTTAAGGGAATCATTTTATTACCAACAAAAAATAATATTAATTAAAATAACAATAAATCAAAATTACAATTTTCCATCAGCCAGTATAAATTGAAGAATATCCTAGAAAAATCAATATGATTTTAATTACGTAATTTATACGTACATTATTACTTACATATATTGATGGAAGATCTGCTAACATTTGTAATGTCGATATACCTATTCCTAGTTAAGTGGTACTTCTGCTAAAAACTGATTAAAGGTGATCAAACGGTGTAGAGTCTGGTATACGATTCTTTTGTTCTGCGGACACGAAAAATACATCCAAATTAGAATTACTCGTTGACGATGGATATTAAAAAAAAAATAATTTTGTGACATTTTACAAAAAAGATATGTTTACAACAATTAAAAAGAAAAATTATAAAATATGTAAAAATAGAAAATTTCTTATACTTTATGAATTAAATAATCACTTTTTATATTTTACACTCACATAGTTTTATAATAAAATGTATTTTTTTTTTTAATTCAATTAGTTTTTTATTTTAATTTCAATTACTTGTTTCTTACACTTCTTTAATCTTAAAGTTCTTATTATCAAATGACGCTCTGTGGCGTTTTAGAGAGAAAAATGGCATATTCAACAATGATGTTGTACCTTCAAAAATTAAATGATTCGTATAAATATTGAAAGTTTAATATTGAAAATACATAGAAACAGTAAGCAATACATGTTTGAACTTAAACTTTTTTTGTTTTAACAATGACGTCACAGTAAAAATGTCAATTAAACTCAAATATACATCTAATTTTTTTTTTCTTCAAATAAGAAAAGGTGCCCTTTTAAGTATATTTAACTAAACAAATGAAAGGAAAAGGAAACGCAATTGCTATTCTAAATTCACATTTATACTTACCTTTAATAACATATATTTTGTTTTTATTTAATTTTTATTTTTAATATTAAATTAATTTGAGAACACACACACTGTTTACTCTTTAAAAGAGTAAATTTTAATTAAAATATGTTTACAAATTTGACAAATAAATTTATTTTTGTAGGAATAATTTCAAATGTTTGGTAGCAAAATAAAATAAATTTCATAATTGAGGATCATGTAATTTTATAATATGATATGTTAAATGGTTATATAAATTAAGGTTTTATTGTAATAGTCATATGAGACATTTAGGAAAATATTTTGATCGCAATGAAAATGTACAACCATGTTTTTTCTTTGCGTGTATAAAGATTGATGAGAGGAAGGAGGAATATACGAACAAGAAATAAATAATTGATAACCATTAATTTTAATAGAAACGGATATAAATTCAATGTCATCATGAGGAGATTCCATGACTACGAGTTCAGATGATAAATTACATGAAACAGCAATTAGGACGCCACCTCCTGTAGTATTGTTACCACGATCACATCGGTAGATATTAAATTTATTGCAAAGAATTTCAGTATTCAGAAAATTTTCATTTAGCCATGTTTCCGTAAATATTAATATTTGTTGATCAAAATTGAAATTATTCATAAACAACGTTGTTAACTTTGTTCTTAATCCTCGATCATTTTGATAGACGATGGACAAGTAATCATTAATTAGTTTTTTGGAATATAAGATTCACGCTGTGGAAGAGCAGCAATGGTTTGAGGTCTGGACCTGTAAATATATTCCCGGACTAGAGTATTTATTGGCCAGAAATTCGGATCAAGCTATCTTTATAAGAGATTCATAGAAACTGTAATCTTAAAAGACGATATTGATCTCGGTTGAAAAGAATTAAATTTTTGTATTGATATATCAGCATCATTACCAATTTTATTTTTTATGTAGAAATCAACTGAATCGGAAGTAGTATCGCTTGCTTAGAGTATTTAAAAAACCGGTCTGTTTCAAAAACCGGTTTTCGAATAATTCGAAAAATTGCGTTTCAAAAAAACCGGTTTCGAATACGGTTTTAAGTGTAAAAACCGGTTAACCGGTTTTTTAATTCATTGTAATTTTTTCTGCAAAAATTATGTATAAATTTTCCGAAAATAATACGTATTTGTAGAAAGATCAATTTGCTTACACATTTGAAATTATAATTCCAAAACAATATTTAAGACATCTTATGAAAATAGTTTAATTTACGTTATCGAAAAAGCGTTAGATCAACTTCTTAACAAAGATATACTATATATGGGAAATTCTTTTTTTGTTTTAGATTTTAAGAAATCAATTTTATGCATTAAATATTTCTTTCGTTTAATACTTTGAAAATTAAGTGATGGCGAATTTTTATTCACAAGACTTGAAGGAGAACGAGAAATAAACACTCAAAGTTAAAATTTCTCAAAAATGTGATTGAAACCAAGTAATTTTTTTTTACAACTTTTTGATATTATGAGGGCGGCTTACAACTTAGAAAGTCAATTTTACTAATGTAAGCTGTATACACTTGTTGAATGACTATAGTCTATATTTAATTGTTGTGCGATTTATAAGTAAGGAATTATGTGGTCGCAATGTTTTGAAACGAAATTTATACAATTGTACAAAATTTGCAGTTTTTTGGATAGAATATTTGCGGCTCTTAGGTTATGCAAAATGTACAAATAAGAAAAAGTAGACATTGCAATTACGCGTCGTTTGATGTATATCTCCAAAATGTGCTCTATAATGTATCTCTAAGGGAGAAGCTTAAATATTGGAAAAATAAACATGAATGTTTCGAAAAAAAGGGCTTTTTCGCGAAGCACACTAACAGCGTAACTTCAATATACCCAAAATATCGCGTGATCGAAATACTTTTAATTTTTACATGTTGAAATCATAAAGTTTTTGCATTAAAAAAGTGTAAAAAAGTTCATTCATATTAACACAAAATGTATGTAAAAGTTGTTATTTTTTCTAAAATTTAAAGAATATTTCATCCATAAAAAACCGGTTAACCGACACAAAAAAACCGGCCAGTCGAATAATTCGAATATATGAACTATTCGAAACCGGTCGGTTTTCAAACAAGGAAAAAACCGGTTTCCGGTTTTTGTATGCTCTACGCTTGCTAGACTAGAAATTAATATTGTCTTTTTTGGAGGAATTACTCGGAGAGGAATAATTTCAGTATTTATCAATTGCGGAGGATTATCAACAATCGGATTAATCACATTAGTAGTTACATTGGCAGAACATAAAACTGCGTCAGCATAACTAAGATGTAAATTATTACTACTTAATTCAGTAATATTGGATAAAGGAACAGTTGGATCAGATGCAGTGTTACACGAAGGTACAGGAACAGAAATATTAGTTAATGGAACGTTTAGATCATATGCAGTGTTACACGGAGGTGCAGACACAGTTGGTTGATCATCACGTTTTTCTTTGGTTAAGTTTCTTACCGATTTACGTCGTTTGGGAGAAGATTGCGGAGGAGATTTTAAATTATCCAGAGATTTAAAATCATCGAACAATTTTCCGTATGCGGAAATGCGTTCATTTAATTTAACGGCTTCATCTTGAATTCCGGCGATTTTCTTTTTAGTCTCTTGGAAAAATCGATAATAGTTTACACCAAATTTTCTACAACTTTCACAGCACCAATGTTAACCTTTATTTTTAGAAAAAGCTTCTGCTACTAGCCCTGAAAGTCCACTGCATTTAAAGTGACAACATTCATGGCACAGCCAACAGACCACCATTCTTTCATCTTCGCCTTTAATATTACAATGTTTTAATAAACAAGCCATTTTTAAAAAAATTAGTATATATTATTTTGCAGAGTGTAGAAACAAGATAAATCAGATGGCAACTTTATCATTCAATTTGACAAGCAAACAAAAGAGATGATCAATGTTTGTTGTTGTAGTAAAGAAAAACAAAACAGAAAGGAATAAGAGAATGGTACTTATCTTTGTATTATGTTGTTGTTATAAACGTGTAGATGAGTACAAGGAATGGAATTGATGATCAATTATTTATCTCTGTTGTTTTAAGCTTTTTCTTTATATTTCTTTTATGTTTTATTAAATGTTTTCGGATCAAAATTTTATTTTTTATTTAAACAGATTTAAACAGAATTAATTGCAGCTTTACACTTTACAAACTTGAATGTCTTGAGCAAAAAATACAACAAAAACGTCAATTTTGAAAAAATAGGGGATAGTAGGCCAGACACAAATTTTCAGCTCTATCGGTAAGAACTGCCGGAGTCAGAGGGGGTGAAAGTTGGGCATTTTGGTCATACAGTGTTTTATTCAAATGCGTGTAACTTTTCACCTATTGGTCCCAGCAAAAATTTTGCAAAAGAGTTCAGAAAGCTATTTCTTCATTCTGTCCAAAAACATTTTTTAAATTTTTTTTTTTTTAATTTTTTTTCAAAATGGGCCCTTTTTCTTATAAGAAAGCTAATACAATTTCCTTGAAGGCCTTTATAGTCCCATAATGGGATGCGAGTGGGATATCTATCAAAAAATGATTTTTTAACTCAAGAATAATTTTTCTTCACTATTTGGCACTTAATTTTCACCAATTTTTTCAAAATGTACGTTTTTGTTGTAATTTGTTTACTCAAAGTAAAGCTTAGACCATTTCCTTTCAGAACTTTGTGGTCACTTAGTGGGATGCAAGCGACATATGTGAAAAATTATATTTTAGCTTTGTTTTTGGAGTTAAAAAATAGGTGAAAAGTTACACTCATTTCAATAAAATCCTGTATGGCCAAAACGTCCAACTTTGACCCCCTCTTGACCGATAGAGTTGAAAATTAATATAGCCTATTGACGTATCTAGATCTATCTACGTTCCAAATTTCAATCGGTCCAGCCGTTTAGGCGTGATTGACGCACAAACAAATAAATAAACTTACAAAGAGATATATGTATAATCTATATATATAAAAGAGTAGCGTTACTGACTGACTGATTCATCATCGCACAGCCCAAACGGCTGAACCTAGAATCATGAAATTTTAACAGTAGATGTGTTTTTGGTTATGTAGATCCACTAAGGAGGGATTTTTGGAAATATGTACATTTACGGGTAAAAAGGGGAAAAAACGGGTAAAACATGTTTTCTTAAATATCTTACACAATATTAGTGATACAAGAAAAATTTTAAATGCACATGTATCTACTCTTAAAATGAGCAGATGGGTGTCCGGTACTTTTTTGAAATTCGTAGTTTTAAGGGGTAAAAATGTGTAACAAGAGTGATTTTGGTACCTTTTTTGGCTCTTTATAACGTTTGAACTAATTAACATAATCAAATTTTTATAAATATTTTGGATACATCTCCCAAAATTATGAGACACCTGTTTCGTACTTTTTTTTAAATTCAGTC